CATGGGGAGAAATGCCAGATATAGGTGAAGGGGAGGAAGGCAGTAAATCACATTTCCATGTGTGTACCTATGCAACAATCTTCCATGTTCTTCACACGTACCCCAAAACCTAAAATGCAATAAAAAAAATGTGTGCAGGGTGGCTAAGTGTCACTGTGATTCACATGAATAGTTTTATTTCACAAATGCAAGGGTTAAATTATGAGATAACAGCTATTTATCTGAACAATCTACTGAAAAATATGGCCAGAAATTTCTCGAAAAATCTTAGAGAATCAATAGGTACTTTCATACTTGTTCCATCATAACTTGATGTAAAAACAAAACAAAACAAAGAAACAAAAAAAAAATCATAAAGCAGGATTAGCATGTTATGGAACACACAGAATAGTGGTTATAATCATTTCACTTCACTTAAATCAAAGTCTTCGAAATGAATTAAAACGTAGCTAAGAGATTGGAGAAGAGAAATAACTAAAGAAGGTGCAGCAGGTGATGAATGAAGTGCTAATAAGACTGTACATTTTTAGGAAAGACAGTGGAACAAATAAGGTATGGTATTAGTATTACACCATGATTAAGTGTAATTCTTAGTGGTAACATTGCTTGAGTCTGAACTCTTACTCTGCCAATGACAAGTTACATAACCTTGGTTAATGTATGTCCCCTTTCTAAGCCTCCAATTGATCTTTGGTAAAATGGCAAGAGCAATAGTCCCTATCCTCTAAGTTCATAATTAAGTGGCATGATACATCTTAAACATTTAGCATAGTACCTGAAACATAATGTTAGGTTTTGTTTTTAAGACTGAGTCTCACTCTGTCGCCAGGCTGGAGTGCAGTGGCGCGATCTTAAGCTCACTGCAACCTCCGCCTCCTCAGTTCAAGTGATTCTCCTGCCTCAGCCTCCCGAGTAGCTGGGACTACAGGTGTGTGCCACCATGCCCAGCTAATTTTTGTAATTTTAGTAGACAGGGTTTCACTGTGTTGGCCAGGATGGTCTCAATCTCTTGACATTGTGATCCTCCTACCTCGACCTCCCAAAGTGCTGGGATTACAGGCATGAGCCACTGTACCCATCCAATATGCTAGCTTTTATGTGACTCATGTATTATTTCTTCTTTTTGAAAGTGAAACTACTGATATAACCCAAATCTATGTAAATGTGGGTATTATGAAATAAATTGATGTGGGAAAAATGTCAAATTAATTTTCATATTTGCCTATTGCAAAGGCTCCTTGCAGACTCTGAACTGTCATCTCAATCTTCTCTTTGGCTTAAAGTCTTTGCTCCAGGGCCGGGCGCGGTGGCTCATGCCTGTAATCCCAGCACTTTGGGAGGCCGAGGCGGGTGGATCACGAGGTCAAGAGATGGAGACCATCCTGGCCAACACGGTGAAACCCCGTCTCTACTAAAAAAATACAAAAAATTAGCTGGGCATGGTAGCGCATGCCTGTAATCCCAGCTACCCAGGAGGCTGAGGCAGGAGAATTGCCTGAGCCCAGGAGGCGGAGGTTGAGGTGAGCCGAGATCGCGCCATTGCACTCCAGCCTGGGTAACAAGAGCAAAG